GGAGACAGGGCCCCAGGGCCAGGCAGCCTCCCCAGGCCCCCACGCACAGACGAGCAGCGCGGGGCCGGCCGGGACGCAGCCTGTCCCTTGTCAGAGATGAGGCTCCTCAGGTTTGGCCAACTGCCGGGGGCCGCAGGATGTTCCGTAACGCGCGTCCTCTGCCCCAGATAGGCGCCGTCCCAGGGGCGCGGGGCCGGCCGGCTCTCGCTGCCCCGGCCATGACGGAGCCTGGCGCCCTGATCCACCTTCTCCCAGGCCGCTGCTGAGGGCACCCTGCGGAGATGCCGAGAGCCGGAGCAGCGCTCTGGGTCTTTACAGGAGCTCTCTTTGTGGGAGCCCGTCTGCAGGTTCTCCACCAAGGTCTTCCTCTTGGAAAACATCAAGAAATGCAAAACATCTGTTTTAATAAATGATTCAACAATTTTTTTTTTTGAGTCCAGCAAGTCAGGCGGTTGCTTAAAACTGTCTGTACACCCCTTTCCACGGGTGTATTTATAACTAAAGGCATAACTCAGCGGTCTCGTGCTCCGCTATTAACCCCCTGCAGCCTCCCTAAAAGCAGACCAGATAGCCAGTTGTAGATACGCGTCAGAAAACACGGCACCTATTCACGTTCGGAAAGCGATCCCAATAGTCCCTATTTGGGGATAAAAGTAAATACATAAAATAATAATAATAACAATAATAATAAAACCCTTTTCGGAATTAAAAATCTGAAGGCAAACCCTGTGGAGTTGGATGCTGATGCCGCCCTTGCTGCCCCCAGCTCCGATGTTTCAACAAAGCAGCCCCGAGCTCCAGCCCCGGCAAGCACTGCTGGTGCAGACTGAGCGGCCGTGGGGCCAAAGGGGCATTTTGGCCTCCTAGACACTCCAGATAAAAATGTGTCGCTCACCAGCAATAATTAACCAGCCCAAACCCAGCTTGAAATTATCCACCCGGTCCAACACGAGCTGCTCTTCCCCTGCACGTTTCCATCTCCCTTGTCCCCCATGCGTCCCCCCGCTCCTTGACGCTGAGAGCAGAACGGCACAGAGCCCCGTTACCAGCCCCGCCGCTGTCCGTGGAGCGTCCCCCGAGCAGCCGGAGCCACGCGGCATGCGGAGGGAAGGGCAGGGAGCGGACGCCCGGGGCCGGCATGCTGCAACTACGCTCCCGGGATGAAAAAGCAAGCCCAGGGAAGGACAACAGGGACAAGCAGCTCGCAGAGGGGACGGCACCGACCGCCGGGACTGCTCAGGACGCGCTATTAGCATGTTAATGCCGGGGTGCTCCGGGATCGAGCCCGCTGCCGCTCGCTTCCCAAGCCGCTGCCGCAGTATTCCTGGCGGCTCCAGCTGGCCAGGAATGAAACCCCGGCAACTTGGGGAGAGCTACCTGCTACCGTGAATGCTCGGGCTCCGACAAGCATCACCAGCTTGAATGCAACCAGCAAATACCTTGGGCAGGGAGAAATGGTACCGCCAGAATTTAGCACTAGCTTGTAAAGACTTGTGAGCCTCTTTTTTTTTTTTTTTTCCCTCCCTTTCTTTTTATTTTGCTCAGCAAAGCAGCCAAATGCAGCAGTGGTTGCTTTCGCGGCCAGGAGGAAAAGGAAGAAGATTCTCCCTTTCCAGCAACAGCCCCACAAATGCCCCCCCACCGCAAACCTGCCACAACTAGAAGCCGAATTTCTACCGACAAACCAGCCCAAGCTGCAATTTTTTGCTCACAGGCTTAGTGCCGAACTCTCCTTTCTGCTCTAGTGGCGGCTGCTTTTCTCACCAGTTTTGGACACTATTGGAAAACAAGGTCGCACACGCAAATTCTGCCTGCAATTTGCCCCGTATCCATAGTGATTAAACTCGGACCCACAATACAAGGCTTAAAGGAAACTTTAAGAAAAAGGCGCTGAGCAGAGCTAACCCACGGTGCGCCCAAGGCCAGGGACAAGGATATTGCCAATGACTCTGTTTTTTTTTGAAAGATCTTCCCAGTTCTCTGCGAATTAAATCATATTGCTCCTAAATAACGGAGTTATTGAAAGAGCAACAAAACCTTCCCCTCCGCCGACCTCCCAGCTTCACCCTCACCACCAACCGAATGGCCCAGGGGCAACCTGAAAATTCAACAGCTTCTTCTCCTTTGAAAGGAGCCTACAGAAATTCGGTGGAAGCAGCATTAGAGGCCGCCTGCCTTTGCTTCTCTTGGCTATTCCTATCGGGAATTTTGCTTGGAAAGGAGCTCCTTACATCCCGTGGCCACAGCCTGCACTATGGGGGAGGCACTGGGGGAGCTCCCGGATGGTTCCTAGCAGGGAATGGGGTCTGCTGGCTGGAGCTGGGGGGAATGGCAAGAGATAGGCAAGCAGAAAGGAAAAAAATACTGCAGGAAGAGACTTCTCTTGGTCCTACTGCTGGTCAAGAGAAAAAAAAAAAAAAGAGGAGGGTGGAAAAGGGGGGAAAAACGAAGAGAGAAAAATATCCTCACTGCCTCTTCCTCCTACAAGTTTCTTGTTGGCCCCTTGCTTTCTGAAGGGTCAGCAGCAGGGCTGGGAGCTCCAGACCTCAGCGTGTCTAGGTCTGAATTCCTGCTCTGTCACAGCCTCAGGTGCGGGCAAAGCCCCCAGTACCCGTGTGGGATGCGAGGAAAATAGGCCTGAGCAGGACAAGGCTTGGGGCAAGATACAAAGTTCTTCACAGCCGCACTTGGCAGGAAAAGAAAGCTAAAGGAACAGGTAAAACCTTTGTGACTTCCCTCTGCAGCCCTGAGGTGCCCAGTTGCACCAAGAGTCTCCCGAGCTTGTGCAGCACCAACCAAGAGCAACAAAACACCTCTAAGGAGAGAAGAACTCGGGATGCAACCGGCTGAATCAAAATTTCACTGCATCCTAATAAGACCAACACTTCTCAGCACAGCCAGCACCCGGACCCAGCGCCAGGGGCTCCGCGAGTTGGGAGTTGCCGGAGCGCAGGCAAGCGCGGCCGTCCCTGCCCACGCGGAGCCGGGGTTCATTGCACGGGGCTTTGCTGAGGGATAGGGGAAGGCACCCGCAGCGGGACGGGGACGGCGCCCGGTCACCTACTTCTCGTAGTCCGTCTTGCAGTAGAGCTTCTTGTCGCGGTAGAAGCAGGTGGTGTGCAGGGGCTCCTTGCACGAGGCGCACTGCACGCACTGCTCGTGCCACAGGCTGTCGTTCAGGCGGAGCAGGAAACGGTCCGAAATGACTCGCTGGCACCCTTCGCACACCGACTTGGGGGTCGCGGCTCTGCCTGCGGAGAAAGGGAGAAAGGTGGAGGAGCAGCGGAAAGCTGGACGCACAGAGAATCCTGCTGCTCCCTGCGGAAGATCCCACTTGACCGCACAGCCTGGAGCCCGGGGAGGGCTGGGGACGTCCCAGATGCTCCCCTGGGGTGGCAGGTGTGCAGAGCTCTGCTCCAGGCCCTGTGGGGAGAGCTGAACCGTACGGGAGCTCCAGGGGGAGTAAACTGGCCCCGATTTCGTTTCCCTTTGGGAAGGGCGCCGGCAGAGCCGCAGCTCGGAGTGGTGCCGATGGCTTGAGAACGGCGTTCACAAGCGAAGAGGGTAAATCGCGTGTTTTCCGAGGCAAAGGAAAGCGCCCGGCCCCTCGGAAGACGGGGTTGCAGGCAGGGAGCGAGTTAATTAAATCGTGGAACGAAAACAGAGCCGGCGAGGAGCGCCGCGGACACGCGTGATGGGGCCGAAGGGGGCCCGTCCGCCCAGCCCGGGGGCGCCGCCGGCTCCGCCGCGACTTACCCAGCAGCG